TCAATAATTATAGTCTCGCCACCTAAATATACTATTAAACTGGTCATTAAACTCATGAATTCTCAGCGAACTTATGATATGCGACAAACCAACTAAATATAGCGACTTTCAAAGTAGGTCCTGGGTTCGAATCCCGCGAGACGGGATCATGGATGCGCACTGCTGAGGAGTCCCACAATAGGACGAAACGGCTGTCCAGTGCTTCCAGGTTTTCCATGGCGGTTTAGCCTCAATTGGCTCATGATCTCAACTATATAAAAAGACTTTTAAAGTGTTGATTTCATCCCAGTTTTAACCCATCATATTTTTCATGCGCTTTTTAACGAGCGAATAGGATATATATCTTGATGACATTTTCTCTAAAGGTATCGTAATAATAAGCATAAAACGATACTAATCGACACATAAAAAAGCTTATTCTTTGAGTTCTTAAGTCACATTGAAACAATAATTATTGTTTAAATGTTATGTTATGCTATATAGTCCGATCATTTATTCATCTAGACAAACTCATGGATCTACTCTTTAAGAAGTACAAAGCAAAATACAGATTACTGAATCGCTTTGATTCTTCCTGGCAGTTTTTTTTCTTTTTATTGTTATATCTTTTGTCAAATATTCTATCAGTCTGTTTTTACCACCAACTGTTATTGTCCATCAAATTTACAACAGAAAAGGATAATAAATTAATGCACTGAATTTCCTCAATAGATGTGGAAAAAAAGGTGTCTAGAAATAAAGTATCTAGTTATTATCTAAAAATCTTTAACATCAGTTAATATTTGAGACATTTAAATTGATGAATATCTGTTACCTCCACTCTCTGTTAATGACGAGAACCTAGAGAACTTGAGATTAATATGAAGCTTAATTTTGGATTTTCGAACTGGATATACCTATTCTACTTGAACGAAATATATTTAGGTTAAATTTGCAACCTGTTCACACAGTATTTTATTACTTATGAATTAAACTGTCCTAGATAGCCTTGAGTAAAAGACTAATGACATAAAAGAAGTGTTAACAACGTGAAAAACCATAATTTTATAGACCAACTCTACCACACACAGACAAGTCTATTCTGCATTCACCTAACATAAACAGTATAGTTTGATTTCAACAGGATATAGAAAATATAAATACCTAAACAACGTGTTGATGTATTAGAAATTGAGTGTTTATCATTGAAATAACAGTGAAACACAGAAGTTATTAATTGAAGGGTAACTAGATAAACCCCAATCCTTCACTAAATTACAATTCGCTTTCGTATTTCAGTCTGTAGAAAATGATTGAAATTTTTTAACGCTTTAGATCTCTTTTCAACTGTAACTAACTGTAACTATATATATACATGAATAACAAACGAAAAGCATTAATTAATCAAGCCATTTATTCAATAAATTATGTAAGAGTTTCTATTTTTCATATAGACAAACAACGTTCTTACTACTTACTTACGCCTGATACCCCTTGTATAGGAGCATAGGCAGCTCACTAGCATTCTCCATCCAACCCTTGTCCTATTACAAAAGGTAACTTTGTTAACTCCAATTCCAGTTCTAAAGTTTTTATTTTCATTTAATCTTATAAACTGATAATGTTTTTTTTCTTGATTACTTTAGATAGAAAATAAGAAAAATGAGTTTTCTTTCTATAAGAAGTCAATAAATTATTCAATACAACGTTTACTTAAATTATGATTTCAGTATCGGTGAATAAAACTCTGTAAACAGTTTGTACGGAAAACTCAAATTCCTTATTGACCAAACCTTCTTTCTTATTCCTCATTTCATTTATTTATAATAAGTTACAATTTATTAATGTTTATTTCATTTATTATACATTAATGAGTAGACATTTACAATCTACTATTGTTTGCATGTGAAGAGATACATTGATGGCTTTAATATTTAAACACAAGACTGTTAGAATACTTTCAGTAATTTCCCCAATTTCTTTATAGTTTTCCTGGGTCCAACATTATTATATTTGCCTTAAATTACGTCATCTTACCATTAGTAATTATGATGTAAATAAAAGCAGAACAATGTAGAGATTACAAAATCTTAACTATATTATAATCAAGTATAATAAAACTAATCTATCATATAGTTAATAAACTTATAATATTTCATTCATTGGGAAACCTTTTTTTCAAGAATGATACTAAAAAATGAAAATAACTACGGTAATATTACCGTAATTGTCAGTTTTATTCTCATTGTCTTTGCTGCATTCTTTCATTTGGACATATCGATTGAATTAGACAACCTATAAATTATTTATACTAGAAGAATAACAGATATCCTTCGGTACAGTATGGATATTCATATTTCTTTGCGCTATATAGTTATTCAGGATAAACGGGAACAACGGTTTTACTTTGTTACTAAGGTAACCGATACTTTGAATAAATAGACAATAATGTTTAGTTACAAACATCATATTTATTATCAGAGGATTAGACATGAATGTACCTACATCTTTGGAATTATTTACATAAGAAAAAAATGGAATATCATTATACTGACCATTAATACACTTGAATTTTAGTTGATTTACATAACAAGTTGAAATGTCACTACGCTTTCTAGTATACCTTTTATTCATTAAATACTCAATCAGATATGTCTTAAAAGTAAATGATTTAACTGAACAATTAAGTACTTTTTTACAAACAATTATCATCATAAATAATAAATGTTCTGTAATTTGTAAAACATTATTGTTAATAATCATAACCGATTGCGATGAACCAAATTCATTTGGTGTTGTTTACTTGCATCTTCCCTATTGTGATTAGTCAATTACTTAAAATCTAATAAACAGTATTTAACAAATTGTACAAATCTGTATTAAACTTTTAAAAGTCTTACATTTAATAGTTGAATTTATGAGTTGATTAAAGTTAGACCACCATGGAAAACCTGGAAGCACTGGACAGCTGTTTCGTCCAAGCATAGGACTACTCAGCATTTGTTTAAATATTTTAATTAGGCCGATAACTTTGAAAGATTGATACTGTTTTTTTTTCGTATTTACATTTATCCATAGATGGTTCTAAATATGAACTTTTTTATTAAAAACATTGATATTTGAAAGTAGTTTCTGATTAGTTAACTGAAATTCACATACATAGGGATCTCATATTATTTTTCTTTATTCAATGTTTTATCTTATTTAGGTGATACGATTTTATGGTTTAGTGTTTTACCAAACAAAAATTAGTAAAATGAATGGATTTGATAAATTTTATTTTTAAGTGTTTTTTTATGCTTCCCATTTATAATATTTAGACGTTACTATGAGATTCTTCAAATGTTGAACAATGCACACGTAATATAAGATTTTCAGACTACTTACTATACAACCTTCCTTTCTTATATATAGTTCTACGTATTTGTTAAACTCTTTTGTCACAGAATAAAATTGTGTCGCTGTTCAATGATAGACAGTTTATAACTCTTATGTACACTTTTTTTTTCTGTGAGTTACAACATGAAAAGTAACTTGTGTATAAAGTAAATATTTTATTAAAAATCGTCATCACTTGTTCACTATGAAAAAAATAGATTTAATCCTCTGAAGAAGAATTAAAAAGTTAATCACATGAGTTGATCAAATTCTAATGAAGAAACGACCTTGTACAAACCACGCTGAAGGTAAATATTTCGAAGTTGTTCTACTAAAACGTTTAGTACTATAAAAATGAAAAAAAGTCGTCGGAAAGATAGATTTGATGAATTGATCTAAATAGATCCTCCTTATAGAAATCACTTACAACGTGATTAGCTTGACGATAATAACTGTGATATAAGATGACATAAGATGTTTCCGGTTGCAGTCCTATGTGTAAAAAGAGTCCCACTTACGATTACAAATACCTTCTAATGCGTAAACTCAGTAGTTATTAAAACCTAAATGTGTGACCTTCAGTTACTTTATTCCAACCATTTAAGACTATGCAAAATACACCCTGATATCCAGTTACTTAAAACGAGTTACCATATTACAACCTGACTAGTTGGATTTAATCATTAATAAAGATTAAACATGAAATGAACCATTATTTCAACTATAATAAATACTAAATCTCCACAAAACTCCTTCTATAATTAATATTACACAGTAACCAACATGCATAAATGTGTGTAATCAATCATAGACAATGAAACATTTGGGGAGAGATGGGTAAGATATTCAATGGCAGATGTAAAGTGAACACCACTTTTTCATCTCACAGTCTACTTTTCCGAATTTAACCGAGGTTTTTATCCTTGTTTAGCCATTAATTCCATAGTAAAAGTACTCCATCCCGACTTAGCTCGTCCCAACTAGTTTACCAACTTTCTCATTATACATAGAAAGGCTGAGTGAAAAGTTACAAAGGTATGACATTTATTTTGACAAATCTTGTCAAAATATGGTCATAGTCTGCAAAATTATTTGCATTTTTTCAATTACCAAAAGTATCAGGCTGCTCATCTATATTATTATTATGCAACCCAATTGATCAATCTTAATAACGTCCATTGGACGAGTACGTGTATTAATATCACTAAAATTTGAACCCTCTACATTCAAATATTTGATAGTTGAACACTGTAAAAATACATAACTATTCACTTCTTCTAATCTTATTTTTAATATTACTTAAAATCAAAGAAATAAGTATTCTTGCTTATGGAGACAGTAAATTTAGCAATTTTTAATGTATATGATAAAAATACGTTTGTGAAATGGTCGTTGGATAGATAATTAATGTTTGTTATCTAATTGTTGAGTATTTCTTCCCCTATCATTATTACTTATTTGTCTGACAAAAACAACTTGTTTGATGTATTCTGCAGAGAAACTTTTGGTAGTCTGTCCTTCCAAAAGGTTTAAACATGTGTTTTTTAAAAGCAGTGACAAGCCTTATTACCTAATGTTTTTGACTTTCCTGTTTTCTAAACACCAATATATTCCAAAAAAATCTTTAACTATAATTCACTTGCCTTGCATTAAATACGCATTCAAAAACGGCTGTTCCTGGTTGATCATCTTTTAAAGTAAGTGATACATCTTTTGGAGGTAAAACAAGATCTAAGGAATTTGTTGCCATATTTAAAGGTGGATCTGTAAAACAAAATCGTATGGAAGCACATAGTTGAATGAACAAAATGACAATTAACAATCTAACTTTCTAAAGTTTATGTGAATCTTGGAATAATTAAAGTTCATATATTACATGTTTCTCATAATATATAGCGAAAAGTTTCCATCTATCTCTTGATAAATTGTAATGAAATAATGAATTAGGAATCAAGTAACCATTTCTGAAGACAATCTCTCTAAAAGATAGCAAGCTAACAAATCAAACTAGTTACATTTCCATCTCATTATATAAACCTTTCAATGTCATACTATAACTGTTGAGTCCAAACGTATTTTTACGATAAGTTCATATATTATTCTCCTTGATTACATATGAACTAGGGGGGTGGACTTTTATGTTCAAATAGATGTCATGGAATAATGTATTTACAATGTTCGGTAAAATGAAAATTCTAAGCCGAGCCCATCAGTTTCTCTCTAACTCTTATATTCAAAATATAAAAAAGAAGAAATAATATATTTAATGACTTGGATGTTCTGGAAAATAAGAATACTATTTTGTAATTTTATACGCACTATTGAAACTAACATTTGTGATAAAAGAAGTTGGCTTTTTGCGAATAAATCTGAGATACCTCCAATATTGAAACATAGCAAACTGCAACTTTGAAGTATGACACTCGGTAAGCATATTTTTCTTAATTTTGAAATTATTTATTTATCGCCGATTTTAAGTGTCATAAACTGTTTATGTAATCTGTCCCGTTGACTGTGAAAGTTGAGAAGCTTAAGATGACTTCAAGGTTGCTTACATACAAAATATTTGCAAACTAACTGAATTGATAGAGCAGTATTGTTAGTACGCCTTAAGATAGTTGTGTCCCAAAGTATGTAAGAATACTTCAAACTCTATTTTCTACCTCAAATTTTCATAAGCTGAGACATTAAGAAGTTTCAATATTTTAAGAATAATATCTTCATCAAATTTTATGACTGTTACGAATTAAACAGTAATTTACTTATATTTTGCAGATGCATGAACGATTTACCATTGATATTTATAGGTCAAAATTATTGTTACCCACCTTTAACTTGGATTATATGTGTCTGACTGAATATTTCACTATTCGCTCTACCATAGCCATTGATCAATCGTGCCCTAATCACTTTTGAATCCATTTCTTTATCAATATTAAGCAATACTATAGCTTGTTCCAACTGGCTAACAAAAATATTCAATGTACTAGGTATTGGGGCATTGTTTATGGTCCATATAGCTTGTGGGAATGGTACTGCTTGTAAATAATATGAAGGAGGTAAAGCTTTGTTTGTTTCGTTTATTGAGTTGAATACTGATTTCCACAATCCATTTCGTCTTTCCAGTTGAAATGGTTGCTTACGTTTATCTTGATCTAGTGAACCAGGCCAAATTATAACAGCTTGATCTAGAGTTACTTCAATAAATGAACGCGCTTTGATTTTGGATGGTGGATCAAGATCTGTTGGGATTAAAAATTAAAAAATATTAGTAATTTATTCCTAATAGAAGCAAAATCAAGTTCCTAATAAGACAACTATACTACTTGTAACCCATAAGTAATAACCTTCTCATCTCCTGGTTTCAAAATTATTTAAAAATTCGGACATTATTCATCAACATTAAAATTTACTATCAGATAATAAATACAAATTAAGAACGTCAGTGAGTGGCCTTCACACAAACATGTAGGGAGTCATTTTTTAATGATCCTTGATTATTTGATGTGGATAGTTTGATAATAAAGTTTCTATCATTTTAAATAAAGTGCCATTGAATATAACTAAAAATGTTGGATTGTTAGAACTTTTTCACCAATAAATAATAAATTTCTTCTGTCAAAGATGAAATTCGTCAGGGTTTTGATGTTATGTGTGCTGTTACCATCTGGATGTTTATTTTAATTGTCTTTTTTAAATATCTGAAGACATTTTCAGTTTCATTTCACCCTCTCTACGTCAAGTCCGTTTATGGTTCCATCATAAGAGATGCAAATTCAACAATATATAGCAAACTTATTATTAGGAATTCGATTGTTACTTTTTTAGGTCGATAAAGATAGCGGTTTTCTTCAAAAGTTTTACAAAATCGTGTACGTTTTTTACTCAGAGAAAAGGATACATGTGTTCACTTTACATTATTCATTTCATTAATCTTTCCATAAAAGGTTGAAACAATCATTGCAAGCTATCAATTTACTGATCCGAATTAGAAAAGAGACATTTTTAATCCGCTTGTAAATTATCATGAGAAATATTTCAAATGTTGTCTGAGTAAACATCTAATACTAAAAGTCATCTTAAAACAAGATTATTCTGGATAATCAGTCACATTTCAAATATCAATATGATAATCACTCAGCTCTCCACATTAGGAATATTGAAAATCGTACTACAGTTGATATTAAACCTTTTCTCGTAAATAGATTGGCGTTATTTTGTATCCTTTGAGCAGAACAAACCACTTTACTATTATAACATGGAACTAAACACCGAAAACACTGATGAACAAAATATAATAAGTTAAAAGCCAAAGCTAATAATGCCCAGAAATTAATTTCTTCTGCTATCGTTAGGCAAGGTGTTTATTTCATTCCTAACACAGAATATCTCTACAAAAATCTAGTTCATGATGCACCTTATTATTTCTTGAAGTCATTTGGTTTCAGTGCCAAAGAACATGAAATAGACTGATATTTAAACTATAAATGAAGAACATTTTCATCAAAGCAGTAATTTGTACATACAAGGTGGTAGTAAACCACTAGTGTGGTTATTATTATCCTTGAATAAAACCGAAACATATCGTAAAGGTGGCTGAAATTAACTGAAAATACTTATCAGAAAGGTCAACTAAAGAACCGATATGATGAACTATTGTCCGCTCTGGAGAATATCAGAAAAGAAACCAAGAACGTGAGTTGCTTTACTTCATACAAATAGAGTTCACCAATAAAAAGCGTTGTGGGAACAAAATATTCAAAGTGATGGTAATACAAAGATATCAATAAAACGTAATAAGATGTTGAAAATTTTCGGCACAGTGACAAAGCTAGAGTACACTTTGGCTATTGTTATAAGCTTTGTTTAGAATTACACATGGTCTTCGACAACCAACATAATCTAACATAATTTTGTTGTTGCCCAGAATTTTAAACTAAATAAGTATATATTCACTGCGTGCGGAGAAATAATATTGACGTTAAAACTGTAATTTCATACTCAATATTCTTGCTAGGTGCACAAAGTACCTTTGAGCTAGACGTTAATGTACAAAATGTCGAATGTAATTAGGCTGACCTTGATCAGAGCTACGATGATAAACACTGCACAAAACTACTGACGCATTTTCATCTCCTTCTTGGTAATATATATACAGAGAGCGAGAGAAATGGAACAGAGGTTCAATTTCAAAAGTTCAACACTTTGAGGAATATATACTTCAGGACCATACACAGCAACACTCTGACTGTAAATCAAAGATTGCTCAAAATATGCCGTAGTAGTTCCAAATTTTCAAGTTGTTTATTCATCGAAATTAGTAAGATTATTTCAGGAATGTAATACTTAACTGTACATACATCCATTAAATCCCTCAATAATATTATATTTTCATGAGAACACTTGAAATTCTGCACAAAATGAACTTTTTAAGTACATATATAAGGCTAATATTCACCTTCAACTTTGAACAAATCACTAACAAAATACTTAAAGATTGAATATTGCTATATACCGAAAATTGTTATTGACCATCACCAAATATATATATATATATACATATATATATATATGCACATGCAAGTGTCACATAATTCTTCAAAATAAAACTCAATTAAAATATGACATGATTCACAAAAACGTAAGTTGACTACTCACGTGAATACAAATAACAAAATTAACTTACATCCTATCTCTAACTTGACTTTCTGGCTACGAATCCCTCCATAAGTAGTTTTTACTACGCAGTGATAATATCCAGCATCTTCGCGACTGGCTGACCGGAGACGAAAAGAAAAAGTAAGATTTTCAGCTATTCTAATATCATCTTTGTACCAAGATACCAATGCTTCAGAGAAAACATTTGTTCTGCAAGGAAGTAAAACCTGCTCCCCCTCTGCAACAATTAAATACGAGCTCTCTGATGTGAAGTGCAGAGGAATATCTTCATCATTGAGTTCAAAGGACTTCAAGCCACTCATCGAGACGTACAGGATTGCACAAAACAAGAATATCCATCTAAAACTTTCATTGAAAATAACCATGTATTCCGCTTGCTGTAATTTACACTGAAATGTGAAAACTACATGAATTTACTATTGATGACAATAAAACCACGAAAACATATTAGTTGGAGATAATTGTGTCATTCAAATATACTCATATGTTTAATGCGATATGACCCAACAATCTAAATAGTTTAAACAAACAGCCGAAAATGATTTTTGTGAAAAGGTTGTTTTTTAGTCCCGAAAGAAAAATTAGCTATCACTTGAGTAGCTAAAATATATTTCCCCTCTATTCTTTCAAAGTATCAGATTTCGAATAAATAATTGAGATGTTATAACGTATTGTGCTCTAGTTTCCGCGGTCAGAATTCGAAAGCTGTTTGCTGCTTGATGGGATGTTATTCAGTTTCTTAAGGCCTTCTTTTTGTGGAGACTTAACGTCTATGTTTTATACCATATAAAAACAGGACTACCAAATTTTTTGTCAATGGACAGTATTGCTCTACAAACACCTAAGAATGTTCAAAGGCAGTTTGGTATTACAATTCACCATGGACGTTTTCACTATACTGCTTACCCCTCTAATCTTAGAACCATTCTCAAACAGTTGCATGTTTCCTTTGATATCTAGATCCTGGTGGTATACTAAATGGCCATTCTACAGGCTATCTGTTTATTTTAAATGACAACACAGAAGCATTAGATCGACACGGCAACGGACTTACTAAATATAAAACCTAATCATTATGGTGACATATAAAACTCCAGGAAATGTCACACTTGACTAAACAAGACCATAATAATGAAAAAGTAACATCATGAGTGATCAGTCAAACTTTCACTACTGTATTACCAAAAAGATCGGAAGATATCGCAGACGTTCAGGGTTTGACAACGCTTGTAATTGAAACCCTTTGTAATTGAAAGATACGAACTAAATCAAGGATGAAGTTAGGGATAAATGAATCCAAAGATATTTTTTAAAGTTTTGATTTAAGCTGGAAAGTAGCTGCAAGTTATGCATGGAGCGGCATTAACAATCATGATTTGATGCATGTAAGATCGATTTTGAAGGTTTTGTGTGTGAAAATCCCTCCATGCATACATTTGCAAATTGTTCTTATTGGTTTCCTTAGTTGTACATTTTGTTAGTCTTATTGAAGCCATGTGAGATGGCAATATTTTATTTTATTATAGTTTCCTCATTTTTCTTTCGCCTTCAATGAGTTTCTATTTTTCTTCCGGACCTGTATTTATGTTGTTCTAGTTGATACCTAATCTTGGTGGAAGTCATATTTATTGTGTTAATTGAGTTGACTAGTATTGTGCATTTTGATTGTGAATTGAATCGGAAACACTTTGCTTTATAAAGCAACAAACTACTATCTTTGGAACGGATTTATGGTTGATCTATCCAGAAAGGATAGAGTAACACGTACTCTTTGGTGCGCTCGGTAATTTTCTTACATTCCTTATCAGTTTGCCTATTTATTGTATTTTAGATCGATTATTGGTTGAATGACTGAGTGGCAATATTTGTTTGGGTAATAATGTACATTTTTATTTACAATGAAATTTAGGAGTTATTTTCCCAATCCCCTTGTTTTGATTTCAACTGTGCGATATCGCGTTTCGACAATACCCGGACAGTTATTCTTCAGTACAAACGTTAAATTTGATCTTACGGTGCATATGCGTGACCAAGAGACACAGTAGAGTATGCCCAGTAGAACTAACAAAATTAATCCTGCTAGTCGACAACTCTAGGAACTATTTACTGTGGAACTGATTTTTAATTACAGACCCAGATAACGAAATAAAGAATGGCTTCACTGAGACTTTTAATAAGACGAAGGCCACACTGATAATTATTCCTGATCTATGTGAATCCGTTGAGCCGATAAGAATATGTATATAGTCTTTCTCGCTCACCCTTATCCAATGACCGAAGGCTTCATCGAAGACAGTTAAAGATGTGTAAATCATCCTGACAAACACTTGATGAGATTCTGGTAACTACTAAAAAACGTTTTGCAAACGTACTGTCATTTGGAATCAAATTGTATTCCAATTTTCCGACTGGAACAAATATTTTTGAAGTTTAAACACTTAAATATAGCCTCACCACCCTAAATCTATATGCTATAGTCTTAAAATGATAATCCCCTCTAACCTCGTTATCCCGTTGCAAATTGATATGAATATAACTGTAGAATTTAGTGAAAGGTTGCTAAAAATTGTATCTTTCGTCTGCACAATTATAGATAGCTACTATGTCGGGGCACATGGATAAGAGAGATGCTGTAGATTAGTGTTGCGACCATAGACCAGAACTTTATTGACTTATGGGATGAAGTTAGCGTTTCTAGAGAAATTGCTCTGTTTTCCTAGATTCACATTTCGCAGAAAGTCATTACACTCCAGCATTTACCGAACATCACTCTTTCGAGTTTGGGGCCTGTGAATGAAAACGTTTGTCATGATCGCGTGAACAGTTCACCGGAACACTAAAAACATCGCGTGTTGCAGCTTTTGTTTAAATTATTCAGCCGGATCTCAGTGCATGCCCATTTGTACAATGTCAGAACTAATGGATGCCAGTTTTTAGGATCACTTTCAATTCATATTGTCTCTCCAGGGATACGTTATCATTTCGGGTCTCGGAAACGACAGATAAGAAGTCATAGTGACCGCGTTGCTACGCTATTTAGTATTCTGCTGCAAGATAGCTGAGAAAATTCACTTCAGTTTGCTGTCAAACTGTTCAGACGTTGAACTACTTTCATGTATCTTAATCTGAGCATAAAATGTGTGCAGTTTGTTTTTGAAACTTTTTCAAGGCAAAGGCACAGTTTAGTGGTATCGGATCTCAACAATATGATGCTTGAACCCAAACGTACCATGACTTGGAAGACCCACATGAAGCATTGAAGATAAGGAGGGGGTCGAATATTGTGAACACAGGAGGAGAGAACACAGATGACATTGCTAGACCATTTCGATGTAATCATTCTATATAACCTTATGTTGCGTGACATTAAATATGTTAATTTACCTCTACCAAAATATCTGTTCTTCGGGACTCCTTAGCTTCAATTGCTAATTGACACGACAGAATCAGTCGCTTTAGACGTCTATGTGACTTTTGCGTTAAGCCTGGAAAAACAAGTAATCGCATCATGAGTGGCGCACAACCTTAAATTAAGTTCAACATTCAAGCAGTAGAATTAAACGCGACAATACTGAATTGAACGTTAATCTTATTATGGTTCCTAGAGTACTCATCATTAACCGATGCACCTGTAGTTAAAAAGGTAGGGAATATGTGTGGATCTTTGACACCTCTCGTCATCTTCGCTGTGCGACCCATAGAAGAGTGATGATAATAAGATGGACGTTTAATGCAAAGATGAGCATGTGACTTGTTTGGAAACTCACTGAAATTCCGACAACTTTAAAAAAATCGGAGTCACCTAATATACGCCGGTCTTCAACGATGTCAGGACAAATACTTCTTAATGATCAGTTGAGGTACTTTCGATAGTGTCGAAAATTGTGGGAGGGATGGTTTGTTGAGTGATAGTCGACGTTGTTATAATTACACTTATAGTTAACAACAAAATAATAGAATCAATCCTCAAACTGTCAGTCTGTCATTATGTGACCACCTAACCTACAAGGTCTCACGTGCAAGTCATATTGTTTTCGGTTTTCGCGCTAGACCACTTCGGCTTTATTTATCCTCCTGATTTTCACCGACAAACCTCCACGTGTGGAAGTTTGTAATGAACGTGGGTGACACTCCTAGGTTTTTAACCGTCGGTGGGTACCCCTCTTCCTTTCGGTAGAAGAAACCAGACATAAAGTGAACAGGTATTTATTTAGATCATGTAACATAAGAGGCACGAGGTTATCCTTTTCAAACGCGCAAAAATTTTTCGACATTCAATATAAGGTTGTGGCGGTAAATAAATCCCTAAAATCAATAGCTCTGTAAGTCCTCGACATTGAATTCTGACCACATTATTTTAAATGGACTCATCTAACTGAAGGTGCTCGGTCATGCATCCGTACCAGATCACGAGCGGGAACGCTGTGATCACTTTCTATTGCAATCACTGGCCAGTTTAGATCAGTCACTTCTCAATATATTGATAATCCACCGAATACATCTTCCAACCTCCTCGCTTCTGACTTTTGATTTCACTGGGTGGGCATGATTCAAAAATAGTTGTTACGGGTTATGTGTTGTTGAACTACAATTCCTGTGGCATCCACAAGGTAGTCGGAAATACGGTGCCTATAAGAAATAAGGGAGTGAACGAATACTTGAGCTATAGTGTTTTGAGATTGCTAATGTTTGACAATCCACATAAGCTGTTTCAAACATACGGAAATGAATGGTAGGCATTAGGCGGAAGATTACCTTGTCAGTATGTTATTTGGTATGCAGTAAGCCCTAAAAGCCACAAAATTAAAAGTCGGCATCGTAACTCCCTCCTTCAGTTGTCTTCACAGAGAGTAATATGGGGCTACCCATCACAGACACCGCGACGCAGCCAAAGCAGACGGAATTCCCATGGCATTATTTCTAACACTCTAATGCATACGCACACCCTTACATGGAAATTTACAACGTTGTTCACATCAGTTTACGAAAGAGACATAAACCTGATAGTTCAAGTACAGAGATAGTCAACTGGATAGTAATAGACTCGGGAAAATAATATTACGTTGTAGTTTCCGACGCTTAAGACTATTCCCCCTAGGCTATAGCGGAACATGAGGTGATCTGATAATGACTCACAATATACTAAGAACTTTGGGTCACCCCATTACTAATATCCTAACAGAACATCACAGTCACGCTACTCGAAACAACTCCCGGATAAACCGCACATCAAAGAGAAAAATCCTTGTGCGCTTCTACTTTTTCAAACTAACATTTGCTCCTACTCGAAAGTGGCTTAGCTCTTCTCAGTAGAGAGCCTAATGTGGAGACGTAACAAACACGTACTCACCTAAAGATTATCGTA